TCTTACCTGTCATTTACCATCTGTCCAGTTTTCCTACCATCACCCTGCTGGGCCCTGTTCCCTGCTGGCGTGTGACACTGACAGCCCGGGAGTCCATACAGTTGCCGACACACTAGGAAACAGCCCTTCGGTAGAAAGCTCGCGAACAACCCATGCCGCTTCCCGATGTGTGGGCTTCCCTGCCCGGCACCCGGACGGGCCTCCTCTTGGGCAGATGTGTTTATGGAAACTCCTTGCGCCTCGCCAGTCGACATGGCGTTAAAGCAAGGCGCTGTAGGCGCATGCTAGCGAGGGGCCGTGTTTGCAACGACTACGTTACGATTTGTAGTCCCTGAGGCATGTCCGATCGGTTCTAGGGATCTGGTCCCCTCTGTCCGCTTTTGTCTCGGCCCTGTCACAGGAGGAGGAGAAAGCCCATTCGAGGTTCTTGTCACTTCAGCGTGTAGCCACGCCAGACTAGAGAAAGCCCAGCCACGCGGGAGAGCGTTGCACTTGGACCGTGTCGAGATTTTGGGGGGGGGGGGAGCCCGCGCGTCACAGTGCCGGAGCCCAGTTGGAAGCCAGTACGGGGGGCGCTTTCCTGAATGCTGCCTAGACTGCGGTGCTCACTGCTTCTGCGTTTGCTATTTTACCTCTCTCCTTACAGGGGACTTAATACACCTCGTCAACACGGTTCCCCCCGAGTCCAAACTCCAGGGGGCGTGCGGCGATCCCCACCGCGTGCTGGTCGCTTCCAAAGCCTACAGCCTGTCCTCCAGCCTGATGCGCATCCTCATGAAGTCCCGGGTGCTGAATGAGGAGCCCCTGGAACTGGTGGGAGGCGAAATCGTGGCCAAGGGCAAGCGGTCTGACCCCTTCAACTTGCTCTGCTACGAGAACGCATCAGACTGCCAGTTCTCCATCCCCCAGGCCTTCAACACCACCTTCTCCGACCTGACCGACGTGGTCCAAGTCATGTTCCGGGTGGACTCCAACCCCTTCCCCTTCGGCTACATCAGCAACTACACCGTGTCCACAGAGGTGGCCTCCATGGAGTTTCAAACCAACAATGGGACCCAGATCCCCATTGGGAGCCTGGACTCGGAAAAGGCCATCACCGTGATGGTATCGAACAGCTCCGGCGGGAGGAACATCTCTGCTGGCTCTGCCGTCGTGCAGGGGAAGGCTTCGGTGAACCTCATTGTTACGACTGAAAACAGCCTCTGGGAAGCAGGGCTGCACTTCCAGCTCACCTACCGTGTCTTAAACGGTAGGTACAGCGCTCTTCTGAAGGGCCAAGAGCGCACAGGCTGGGGCTTGCGTGCCAGATGAGGTCAGAGACTAGGCAGCCCAGTGCAGCAAGGGCTTAGAGTAGAGAGCTGCACTGCACTTCAAGGCCAGAGGGGAGTCCCCGTCCCCGTCCCCGTCGGGCTAGAACTCAAATCCTTTGCTCTCCCAGCACCGGCCTGACCCAGCAGAGCCCAAGGAAAGTCCGGTGGGCACGAAGCTGCCTCAGGGCTGTGTTCCTGGTACATTGTGCAGGGCAGATGCTTTCCAAAAGCTCAGTCTAGGTGTGGGGAGATCCTAGCCTCTGTGGACCAGAGCGTGAGAGGCTCAGAGTCCTGGATAGGTGCCCGTTCCCGGCTGAAGGGCTGGGGTGGGGTGGCTAAGTAGGGAGTCAGGGGGCTCTCCTCTCAGCCCAGCAGCTGCTGTCCCAGCCAGGCCTCCCACAGGCTGCATGCGTGCTGGAGAAGTTGCTCACCCCTGAGCCCTGGCGAGGGCCTGGCAGAACCTAGCCCTGGGTTTTACCAGGGCAGGCGTCGCTACCTGAGTCTGGCTGCTCTCGCCCAGCATGCCTGGTGCCGCGCTCCTCTTCCAGGAGGAACATCAGACGGGTCCAGGCCTGCTCCTGCTGACGTCACTGGCAGGGCCGAGCATCTGGCCCTGGAAGGGCTGGAGCCAGTTGCTCACAAGTGTGAGACTGGTCTGTGGGGGGCCAGAGACATGCTAAGATGCAGGAAGATTGAGCATTTGTTAGAATCAGAGCTGGAAGAGACCTCAGGAGGTCTTCAAGTCCAGCCCTCTGCCCAAGGCAGGACCAATCCCAATCTTCAGCACAAAAGTCCCCGTCCCGTGCCGTGCGGAGCACCCTCCGTCCCTGGTGCTCAGCATCTCTCCGGACGGATCCTTCCAAGCAGCCCTGGATGGGCTGCTGGCCCACGAGCATGGGACCTGAAGCAGTGGCACCTAATGTTCCCGGGTCCGATCTAGCAGTCCTCGCTCAGCCAAGGCGCCTGCGGAGGCCAGCAGGACCGGGGCCTGTGCCAGTAAAGCCAGGCTGTGTTTGTAAAGCGCTTTCCTTCCCCTTGCTGCCCAGAGCGCTACGTCTCGAGCGAGCCGGAGCCGTTCATCGCAGCCTACCTGTCTCCCTCGCCGGCGCCCAACGAGCACAACTGCAGCGCGGCCAGGAAGATCGGTCTGGAGGCCGTCGAGAGGCGGGACCACAAGCGCTACACTTTCTTCATTTCCCCGATGTAAGAGAACCCTGCCCCCATCCCCGGGTAACCCCTAGCCCTGGCCCGTGGCTTTAGTCCAGACGACGTTGGGGGCGACCTTCCCATTCTGGCGTCAGGTACATCTGCTGCCCCAGCACCCCTCACTCCAAGCCGGGCGACATCCCCCTCTGCTGGTGGGGCAGTTTGGTGCTTTCCCCTCTGTGGCCAAACAAGGTGGCTTCTTCCAGGGAAAGCAGTGGCTCAGCCAGAGCCCCACTGTAATTACTACAACCCTCTGGGATGGGTTCGGTCCCAGCGATCCCCTTGTGACTGTCACTTGATGCGCTGAAACACCTCGGAGCCCCTTCCTGGGCACCCCTTTTACTCTGTCCTGCCGAGCCCGGCCCTCCGGCCTCCCCCAGCAGTGACACGGAGAAGGGGTCACAGCCCTCTGCAGTGAAACACAGACGCTGAGATCCGCTCAGCTCCGGGAAGGCTCCGACAAAGGGACTCCCCTCAGCACCCAGGTGCACATCCCCAGTGGGACCAGAACCCCAGATAAATCTGCCTGACTCTGGAAAAAGCTTTATACAGGGTAAACTCATGGCAGGGATGTTAAAATGAGATTCATCAACTAATCCAGTAGTCGATGGAATTTCCAGCAGGGACTCTTGTGCATTTCAAAGACTGAATCGCCGCATGGAGCCCGGGGCCAGAGGGGGACCCCTCACTGGCTCTGGGCTCCCTGCGGCGCTTCTGCTTTGAAATGTACAAGAGCCCCAACGGGGACTCGTGTACATTTCAAAGGTGAAATGCCACCGCTGCGCCCCTGTCCCTCCCACTGAGCTGGAACTTAAAAGTCGGCTTCCCCCAGCATCCCCTCCTGTTCCCCCCCACTTGCTGCCTCTTTCTGATAGACGCTGCAGGAGCAGAGGAAGCGAACTAGTCAACTAGTGTGCCAACTATCGGATAAGCTTTTGCTTATTGGCTAGTCGATTAGTCACTTACATCCCTAGCTCATGGCGATCACCCTCTTTATGCAAAAAAGAGAGACGCACTGCTGCTTAATGCCCAGATAGCAATGACTTACACTGGGTTAATTAATGAACCAAAGTGATTTTATTAAGCATAAAAGGGAGGATTTAAGCGGTCATCAGAGATAGCAGCCAGAACAACGTAGGTTACCAAATAAAATAAAGCAGGCGTAGCTTAATACACTGAGAGAGCTTGTGACCGTCTCTCCTGACTAAGCAACAGGCTTCCCTTAGATACTGCAGTCATGGGACTGTCTCCCAGCGGAGCTCGCGCCCACGTTTGCCATGTGATCCAGAGAACCACACATCCCAGAACGCCCGAGCATTGGAACAGCCCTAGAACAGATTGCCCTATTATAGGTGCGTTAGTGAGACAGCACAGATCACCTGCTGTCCAGTGCCACAAACATTTGGGCCTGGAGGAGTAGGCTAGGCATTGGGTAGTGACTCGACTTCAGCAAATCACCCTTCTTTCTCATTTTCCCCGTCTATGAAATGGGGATATTGATACTCACCCGCTTACCTGCCCACTCTGTGCAGGTCTGCCTGGCACTTTGAGCAGGTGAAGTGCGATATAAAAATGTTTAGTAGTAGTATTGTAGTGCTAGGTTTTGGGATCGGACCTTTTTTATTGCGTTACTCATTAGCATTTATGCTGGCTTTCAGTAGTCGAAACAGATCTTTTTTTCCCCTCCACAGCAATAAATGTTTACGCCTTCCATTATTTATTAACTGTTCCTCGGTGTTACTGAAGAAGAAAGTTAGCAGACCGGGAATAGGTGGGGTGAGGGTGGAACCACTGCTGTGTAATGTAGCACGGCTTCCAGGGATTCTCAAAGAGGGATTCAGATCCCTAAGGAATAAATCGTTTCCTGGGCAATGATGGTGGGATAGCTCTGCAAATCTAACCGATGAGCCGTCCAAAAAGAGGAGAACATGCTGTATAAGTAGTGCACCTACCACACCCTGACTAAGAGACGTAGAAATAATAAGCAATAAAATCTTGGGGAGTCTCCACTGCAAAAGGGCTCTGTAAATCACTCGCCGTTCGTAGGATTTTTTTCCCAGGGCACTTTGCACAGACGTCGGTACTGGGCCCATGGCTGTCCACGCAGCAGGGGTGTTTCCGTAGAGAGACACAGGTGCCTTAGATGGGCTCAGGAGAGGGATTCACGGCTCATGCAGTGTCTGGCTGGTCATCACTCCATGTTTGCTCTTCTTTGCTTAGAACCCACGACACTACTCAGGCCTATTACTTGAACGTCACGAACCATTTCAGCTGGTCGCCGGTGGAGGTGACCCTGAGCGTGTACACCTCCCTGTGCCAGTACTTCAGCGAGCAGGAGATGAGGTGGAAGACGGAAGGCATCATCCCGTTGGAGGAGACCAGCCCGGATCAGGCGGTGTGCTTAACTCAACACCTGACAGCCTTCGGAGCCAGCCTGTTTGTTCCCCCAAACTCCGTCCAGTTCATATTTCCTGTGAGTAAAAACAACAGCCCAGACCCTGGAGGTTTCCTGCAAGCTGGAGACATTAATAGTGTGCTGGCTGTTGAATGTGCCTGCTTGAAAAAACAACGTCTGCTCGCCTCACATCCCCCAAAGCTAAGCAGAGCCATGCCTGATCTGTGCTTGGATGGGAGACACCACGCAAGACCGAAGCTGGTGTGCTCCTCTCTTGGAGCTACCCGACAAAGCCGCCTTTGAAACTCAGCTGCTGGAGAGATGCACACATACACCCAGACCAGTTGTAGCCATTAAAAATCCCATCACGCTTTTACTGAGTGGAGGGGGGTTAAGTCCCAGTGTCCTTCCAAATTCCGGTTGCATTTTGCTTACCTTACGGGGTTTGCCACTGTTTCAGCTGGACACAGAGTTCTTCACTTCCTGTCCAAAGCTGTTGCATAATTTTGTTTTATACTCCTGCCTGGTGCTCTGTGTCCCAGATGAAGTTCAGGCTTCTCTGGGCGCTCTGTAAGGCCAGGTCTACACTAAAAAGGAAGGTCAAATCAAGAAATGCAATACCAGCGACATTAATTAAATAGCTGGACTCAGCGTACCTTGCTTTGAGTTTCCCCGCCATCATCACAGCAGGAGGCCGATGGGAGCAAACGCTTCTGTCAGCTTCCCCCGACGGGAACACCCTCTGAGTATGATTTAGCGGGTCTTAACTAGACTTGCTAAATCAAACTCCAGAGGATCGATTGCAGCAACATTGATCTTCTGTTTAGTAAAGACATGGCCCAGGGGCCCTCAGTGGGAGCTACAGGCACTCAGCACTTGCTGCACAAAGCCCCAGACAGCTGCTGCGTTCCACTCCAGAGGTGAATGCATTTCAGCAGTCGGCAAAGGGATGCACAGCTGCATTATCTATACTGCACTTAGTGACATCTATCCTACCGGCTCTCTGTAAGATAAATGTCTTTGTTAATTATCGCTGTTGCCATCAGGAAGGCAGAGAGAGCAGGGCCAGGAAGCGAGGAGCTTGGGGAGGGCAAAGCACCTTTCAATTTCTTTTCTTTTGCGCAGGCGCCTGGCCCGGGTCCCAACTACATTGTCCTGCTGACGTGTGCTGTCTGCTTCGTGACGTACTCCGTCGCCCTGCTGATTGTGCACAAACTGGACCTGATTGACATTAACCGAGTGGGGGTGATTCCGTTCTGCGGGAAGAACGGGCTGTATAAATACGAGATCCTGGTGAAAACCGGCTGGGGCCGAGGGTCAGGTCAGTAGCAGCATCCCGCTCTGGAACGGCCAGCAAGGGTGTAACCTGCACATTAGCTCTGGGAGACTTCTAGGCGCTGTGTCCCGTGGCACAGAACTTTTCGTTGGAGAAGTTGCCCCTAAGAATTGGTGGGTGTTTCCGGCCCTGAACGGGGTTGGTTGACTTGCTATAATCGGGGAGCCAGCGTCCTCTCCTAACCCTGTTGAAAGCGCCCACACGTGTCTTTGAGACATTTTCAGTTCAGGCCCATTCAAGGGGGCTTGGCTGGTGTGACTTTAGCAAAGCTTTTGATACGGTCTCCTACAATATTTTTGCCAGCAAGTTAAGGGAGTATGGATTGGACTGTAAGGTGGATAGAAAGCTGGCGAGACTGTTGGGCCCAGCGGGTAGTGATCAACAACCCGATGTCAGGTTGGCAGTCGGTTTCTAGCGCAGTGCCTCAAGGCTCGGTTCTAGGACCAGTTTTGTTCAACATCTTTATTAATGACCTGGATGAGGGGATGGATTGCACCCTCAGCAAGTTCGTGGATGACACTAAGCTGGGGGGAGAGGTAGATACGCTGGAGGGCAGTGATAGGGTCCAGAGTGACCTGGACACATTGGAGGATTGGGCCACAAGAAATCTGATGAGGTTCAACAAGGACGAGTGCAGAGTCCTGCCCTTGGGACGGAAGAATCCCAAGCATTGGTACAGGCTGGGGACCGAATGGCTACGTTGTAGTTCTTCAGAAAAGGACCTGGGGATTCCAGTGGATGAGAAGCTGGATAGGAGTCAGTAGGGTGCCCTTGTAGCCAAGAAGGTGACTGGCATATTCGGGTGCACGAGGAGGAGCATTGTCAGCCGATCCAGAGAAGTGATTGTTCCCCTTTATTCGGCTCTGGTGAGGCCACCTCTGGAGTATTGTGTCCAGTTCTGGGCCCCCCACTACAAAAAGGATGTGGACGCATTGGAGAGAGTCCAGCGGAGGGCAACCAAAATGATTCGGGGGCTGGAGCATATGACCTATGAGGAGAGGCTGAGGGATTTGGGCTTGTTTAGTCTGCAGAAGCGAAGAGTGAGGGGGGATTTGAGAGCAGCCTTCAACTCCCTGAAGGGGGGTTCCAAAGAGGCTGGAGAGAGGCTGTTCTCAGTGGGGGCAGAACGAGGAGCAATGGGCTCAGCTTGCAGTGGGGGAGGTCTAGGTTGGAGATTAGGAAAAATGATTTCCCTAGGCAGGTGGGGAAGCACTGGGCTGGGTTCCCTAGGGAGGGGGAGGAATCTCCATCCCTAGAGATTTTTAAGTCCCAGCTTGACAAAGCCCTGGCTGGGCTGATTGAGTCGGGGGTGGTCCTGCCGTGGGCAGGGGGCTGGACTTGATGACTCCTGAGGTCTCTTCCAGCCATAGGATTCTATGATTCTATGAAATCGGAAACAGGCAGGTGTCAGATACAAGTATGAGCCACAGCCCCTGGTCTTCACACGAGAATTGGGGGTTCTGCCCCTTGCCCCCCGTGTCTGTTTCTGACCGGGGCAATGCCCCTCCTCTTGCTCCTTTCTCTGGGGATGAGGTACAATTTCTCCCCCTCGCGTTGTGTTGAGATGTCTCTCGTGATTCCTGTTGAGTTCTGCTCCAGCGGGCCCTGTGGGGCCCAGCACTACTTCGGATTCTTTTTGTGCATTGCCAGCTCAATCACTCGCTTTGCTCCGGTCCCCGAGTCTCTTAGGAGCGAGGAGGTGGGAGGCTCAAAGCTTGAACACGTTGGGCTGGGATCACAGCCACAGTCACTAAGACATGTCCTCTTTGGACTTTGAGACCTGAGCAGATCCAATCAGGACGCGCCGAATGGGCACCGTGAGGGAATGCCACCGTGTCGCGGCCGGAGAGCTGCTCCCATTGGCTCTGGGGCTTTCTGGCAGCAGGCTCCTGCCCCATAACCCTGTCTGGATCCGTAGGGGCAAGCAGGAGGCGTTTAGACGGCCCAGGTGAAACAAGGAGTGTCTGGCAGCTGGTCCCGGGGAGTAGTCAGAGAAAATAAGCCCTTCAGCCACACCGTGGGCAGCCCGTCCAGAACAAACATCTCCTCCCCCCAGGATGTCCACAAACGAACATGGGATCACATCCCATCGCAGAAGGAAACGCGCAGAGGCCCATGTATCAATCTGACCTCACAGCTGACATGTCCAAGCTGCGTGTAACCCTGTCTGGGTGGGGGGCCCGGCCGCAGCTTTGCATCCAACCATGTTAATGTCTGGCAGGTCTCCGGGTGGCCTCTCGAAAGGGCCGTTTTCTTGGGTTGTGAGGCTTGGGGGGGGGGAAGCCCCCTTGGGTGGTGTCTGCAGACCTGAGCCTGCCTGTTCGCTCTCGCCAGGTACCACAGCCCACGTGGGGATCACCTTGTACGGCGTGGACAACAAAAGCGGCCACAGGCATCTGGACGGGGAGAACGCTTTCCACCGCAACAGCCTCGATGTCTTCCAGATCGCCACCGAGCGCAGCCTGGGCAGCGTCTGGAAAATCCGCATCTGGCATGACAATAAAGGTGAGGCCTGGGCCGGGGAGCCTGCGCCCATTCCCGTTCCCCACGGAAGCCGGTGACGCTGTGAGGTCTGGATCAGCTCCCTGGGTCGTTGATAATCGCGCACGGTTTCCGCCCCAGGGATCCTGCGGGAGCCGCCGTGCTAGTGGCAGGGCACGGTGCTGGGAAGCTGGTGAGCTCTGAGGGATTAACCGAGAGCCGTGGAGAAGCGTTGTCTGATTGGCCAGTGGCAGGCGGGGGACGCGCGGGCGAGTCCCAGCTCTGCCACTGATTCGCTGGGTTTCCTGGGGAAGGCTCCAAAGGCCACGTTGACAAGAGGGTTCTGATTGGTAGGGCCCAACCAGAGACTGAGGCGGATGTTTTCCAAAGGGAGCCTAAATTCACCTGCAGGCCCCACAGCCTCACCACACAGGCCCGTCAGCTCCGCACTGCAGGGAGGATCCCACCCTCACCAGGCCCCTGCGAACCCGAGCCGAGGGGTGGGCCCCTGATTTTCACAGATGTGCGTGGTGCCTCGGCTCCTGTAGATTGGGGCTATTTACCTACCTGCGTGAAGCGCTTTGAGGTTGAACGCTCTGTCTCAGGTCGCAGACCACAGCACCATGTGTGATTAATGAGCATCGCTGGCTGATACTGCTCCCCGTAACTTGTCCCCGGGGCCGTCCCCTCACACTGCATGGCAGTCCCTGGGCACCCGCCCCGTGCTACTTCTCTCTGCTTCCCTCTGCTTAGGACTCAGCCCGGCGTGGTACCTGCAGCACGTCATCGTCCAAGACCTGCAGACCAGCAAGAGCTACTTCTTCCTGGTGAACGGCTGGCTGTCGGTGGAGAGCGAGGAGAGCGAGGGCAGGGTGGAGAAGGAGGTGTACGCCGCCAGTGAGTGCTTGGCTACTCGGACACGAGGCCCGGAGCCTGCAGTGCTCGGGGGATACACAGAGGAGGGTCGGGCAGCTCCTGCGATGGGGAGCTTGCTGTTTTGTAGGGAATTCCAAAAGAGGAGAACATCATGGGCTCCCATGGCAGCGCCCTCATGCTGGCTTCTGCCTGCTACCTGCTCTGGCTTCTTCCCTGTGCCAGTGAGTGCTTGGCTACTCGGACACGAGGCCCGGAGCCTGCAGTGCTCGGGGGATACACAGAGGAGGGTCGGGCAGCTCCTGCGATGGGGAGCTTGCTGTTTTGTAGGGAATTCCAAAAGAGGAGAACATCATGGGCTCCCATGGCAGCGCCCTCATGCTGGCTTCTGCCTGCTACCTGCTCTGGCTTCTTCCCTGTCGGAGTGCACTGGCCCCCGTCAGCCCCAGCACTGCGGGGAGGGTCCCAGCCTCACTGCCCAGGCCCCGGTGAGTCCCGGCTGTGAGGTCAGGTAGGTCTGGGGCCCAGTATGGCCCCTCTCCAGAGCGTGGCTCTGACCTGCTCATCTTTCCCTGGGCGCAGGCGAGAGTGAGCTGAGGAGCTTCCCTCGGATCTTCGTGGCCGAGCTGCAGCGGGGTTTCTTCGAGAAGCACGTCTGGCTCTCCCCGGGGGACCGGCCCCCCCGCAGCCGCTTCACCCGGGTGCAGAGAGCCACCTGCTGCGCCGCCCTCCTCTCCCTCTTCCTCTGTGCCAACGCCGTGTGGTACGGCGTGGTGGGCGACGCCACGCGCAGGTGGGCCGCCGGTCTCGGCATCACCCAGCCAAGCCTCTGCCCTGGCCCAGCACCGCCCTTCCCCGGGGCTGGCTGCCCTGCCTGTGGAGCTATCACCTCCGTAATGGCCTCCATTTCCCCCAGTGCCCCCCGCCTGCCTTTCAGAGCATCCTGGGGAGCATCCTGCTCAGCCCCCACCCCGACGGGCGTAGTGAAGGGCAGGGCGAGGGAGCAGCCGGGAAGCCGTCCTGCTTGCTCTGAACTCAAGTGCCCTGCGCTGGGCGGGCCCCATGGGGATTCCTGGCAGGAAGCAGCAGAGACACGAGGCTCCTGTTTTCCCCCAGTGCCCCCCGCCTGCCTTTCAGAGCATCCTGGGGAGCATCCTGCTCAGCCCCCACCCCGACGGGCGTAGTGAAGGGCAGGGCGAGGGAGCAGCCGGGAAGCCGTCCTGCTTGCTCTGAACTCAAGTGCCCTGCGCTGGGCGGGCCCCATGGGGATTCCTGGCAGGAAGCAGCAGAGACACGAGGCTCCTGTTTTCAACACGGGACAAAACGCGGGAGGCTGATGGGGTCGGAGCAGCTGTAATCGTTTGCTGCGTATACACTTGGCCAGCGCACACTAGCCCTTCGGTTTGGCCAGCAGCACCGCCGGGCCAGAGCCTCCAAGAGGGGCCGGGACCTTTGAGATGTGCGAGGTTCTGTCCACGGCCAAGCCAGTCCCGCTGGTTTCAGCCGCAGTCAGGACCGAGCGACTTGAAAAGCTCTGGGCCGTTGAGCCGGATCCGGGCCGAATTCTGTACGCCTTGCATTCCCAGCAGCGTCTCCTCGACAGAGTGCCTTTTCACAGGGCTTTTCCCCAGATGCGGGCGCCTGTAGCAGAAGGCAACAGAGGCCATGGGGGTCTGACCTCTCTCTCCTTCTTTTCCTGGCCTTCTCTAGTTACGTGGCTGTGTCCAGGCTGATCCCGGTTAGCGTCGACACCGTGGCTGTTGGTTTGGTGTCCAGTGTTGTGGTCTATCCATTGTACCTGGTCGTTTTGTTCCTCTTCAGGATGGCGCGTAGCAAGGTAACTCACTGACTTTCCAGGAGTGCTTGACTCCGACCGCTTTGCTTACCGAGGGCCGGTGTCTGTCCTTACTCCCACCCTGTAGCGTCCGACTGGAGGAGTAGCACAAAGGACATGAAAAGAGGCACCCAGTCTGGCCCCTAGCGATGCTACGGAAGCATTCTGTGCATTACAAAAACGGTTTCCCTTCTCCTTTCACTTATACCTTTGCAAATCAGATGTAGCCGCTCTGCGGAGAAGAGGGGTGATGGACACAACAGGAATTTTTCTCCTGTGATGGTCATTGGCACTTTAAATAACTTGTACCTTGCCAGGTTGGCATCAGTGCTCAACCTGTCAATGCTCAACGCTGTGCATCCTGCGGAACTCACTGCCACAGGAATTCACTGAGGCCAAGAAATTAGCATGATTCAACACTGGCCGTTTATATGGCTCGCAAGAATGATCTCTCTAGATGTAAAAAAGGTTTTCCTGCCGGGCGACAGAATGACATCGTCGGTGTCAACAGGCTCCCTTGGCGAAGCGAAAGTGGCCTCAGAAAGGGGGTAGGCGAGCGTAGCAAGCAGAGGGCGCAGCCCCCTACCGTTAATAGTGAGAGCAGTTGTAACAGTCGGTGCCCACTGAGACCGGAGGGGACATGAAGCCTCCTGTGTTAGCCAATCTCTGACAGTTAGTGAGCGGGATGAGACCTAATGTAGATTATAGTTTCCTTTGAACCCTCTGGTCCTGCCCATTGCTGGAGATGGGACGTTAGCCCACATGGCCTCGGGTCTGAGCCAGGCAGGCAATGCCCGTGTTCTGCTTTTCCTCCCGTGGCCGTACGTGGGTTGTATGTGGATCCCGCCAACGCCCAGCTGGTGACCCGATGCTTTGGTGATGGGCTGAGAGATTGGAGAGCATGCGTCCTGCTAGTGGTGGCGGTTTAGCTGTCCGGCCAGCCTGGGGATTACGCAGTCACAGGGGGCTGGACTGGCTAGACACGATCAGGCTGCCCCGTTGCGTCCCACGACCAGCTGTTATGTGGTACTCGGGGTCACATGACCTGTAAGCATCAGCCGGCCAGAGCTGCCCCCAGAGGCGTGTGAAAAGCCCACGTAGTGAGGGGCGCCCCCGGTCTTGCTCTCGTTGCCGGGGGACCCGCAGTGCCCACCTCGGGGCCGAGCGGGTCGTGCACCCTTTCTTGGCTGGTGCCGTGCGTAGCAGCAGGCCTAAGCGGCTGCTCGCCGAGCTAATGGATGGGGCAGCACAAGGGGAGCGGCAGCCTGCAGAGCCAGGAGACGTGGGGGTGGGACTGTACATTCATTCCCCCCTCCCTTATCTGCTCCGCAGGTGTCCGTCAGCCACACCCTGACTCACTCGGACCAGCAGTCCTTGGAGATCGATAACTACCTGGACTCCTCCCTCCTGGAGAGCTCCTTCCTCTCCTTCCCCGGGCTCCGGACCGAGGTAAGCCGGCGGCGGGTCTCTCGCCTT